ATTTATATATTCCCTGTATTGACTTGCTATGTTGATCCACAGCATATTTTTATTGGCATTCAGTGTTGTGGTATCTCTGGCAGTATTGGCCCGGTTAAAATCACAACCTGTTTTTACTGCATCAGACATGTGGAGCTGATCCAAACTCCACACATCTCCTTCCTGCCTGCCAAAGGAGGACACCAGACTAGTACCACATATATATTATTGACACAGGAGTTTGAAGCAGACACTTGCCAAGATGTGGAATAAAAAGTGATTCTTAGTGAAGTCTACCTTACGTTTATGTAGTCTGTTGTTGAAGCACTAAAACCCGTGTATGTTCTATATACAGGAAGGGTGCAGACAACTGAACTTTGACCTTGAAAACCTTTGCACATAAGAATGTTCTCAAGAACACATTTTGAGTTTGTGTTTCAAAGACTTCCTTCTAATTACCATTTATAAGCGTGACCTTCACATTTTCTAACATTTCGTTTTTTTAGATTCATGTCGTGTGTAAGGTTTCTCGCATGGTAATAGTTGCATTTTTATTCTTTCAGATCCTGAACCCTCTGATAGCAGTAACATGCCAAGATTCATAAGACAACTTCCCCCGGGCAAACTTCCACTGATTTCCGAAACTTTCGGACTCCCTCCTGAAGTATTACAGTCATTCCTTATTAACAAGCATAACTCACAAGGAAGGTCTCAAGGTCAAAGTTCAGACATTTCACTAGCAAGGTTTCAAGGTCAAAGTTCAAACATAATGACAACAATCCCTTCGATTATCTCAGACTCCATGCTCCGACATCATGAAAGCATTGTTTCACCTGACCCCAACTTGAGTATAGGTCAATGTCATGCATCATATCAAGGTCAACACGACTATGGACAGCACAAGCTGGTGTATATAGCGGACAAGAAGTACAAGCCGTGTGTGGTGTGTGTGCTGAACAAGGTTAAGAGCCCTAAGGGCTGGTATATCTACTCCTACTATAAGTGTGACGTGTGTGATGTGCCCCTGTGTCGGAGCAAACGCGACTGTTTCCAACAGTACCATCAGTACATGTCAACCATGGATACGAGTGAACTGCAGCTGATTTTCCCTCCCAATTCCAGCTAGAATTGTCATCATTGTGATGGTTCCCTCCCCACATGGGCTAACAGCTGACTTTCCTTCCCCAATTCCAGCTAGAATTGTCATCATTGACATTGTGACCGTTTCCCTCCCCACATGGGCTAAAAGCTGACTTTCCTTCCCCAATTCCAGCTAGAATTGGCATCATTGTGACGGTTCCCTCCCCACATGGGCTAACAGCTGACTTTCCTTCCCCAATTCCAGCTGGAATTGTCATTATTGACATTGTGACGGTTCCCTCCCCACATGGGCTAACAGCTGACTTTCCTTCCCCAATTCCAGCTAGAATTGTTATCATTGACATTGTGACGGTTCCCTCCCCACATGGGCTAACAGCTGACTTTCCTTCCCCAATTCCAGCTGGAATTGCCATCATTGACATTGTGACGGTTCCCTCCCCACATGGGCAAGAGCTGACACCAATAAAAACAGCTGACTTTCTGCAAAAAGTTCCCTGAATATTGCCCAAGGGTCGACGTAAAAAGAAAGGCAGCTACTGTTCCATCCCCATATCATCTTGGGGCTGCTATCACTCACAGATTGCAAAGGAATACTTATTAAAGATTGTTGACAAGTGATTTTCATGTTCTGCTTTGGACATCGGTGTTGAACTGGAGTATTGCTAAACTTACTAAAGTTGTTGACTTAAACATAAGAAATAACAGTGGAGGCTTCAGGGGCTGAAGATCACAGGACATATTCATAGACCATTTAGATCTGGAAGTATATTTACTTATACTGTTAAGGGATCTCTGGCATTTTCTATTCCTCATGAGTACCATGATGTACAGTATACCTACATTTGTATGTACTAACAGATATCTTAGCCAGTTATCTGTATCCTTCAATACAGGTGTCTCACAAAGTTAATGGATGATTCTAGGCTTTATTTATGCAAGTTTTTTAAATGTCAAATGATGATGTGTTTTACCCGCAGGCTAATCTTATTTTTTTGTATTCTGTATAGATTACAAAAATTTAAATATGCAATTGCCTGTGTGTTCGTTACTTTCGTCTCTAAACAAGTACTGTTAAAACTGTTTCTTAATATAACTTAGTAAAAACACTTCGCAAAATTTTGAAGTGTTGTCTACCTACCCCGTCCCAACCCTAACACTTGAGAGTGTAACCAGTACAAAATTGGTCCTTAGCTCACCTGGCTGCGTTAGATACTCGTCATGTTTTGTAATCCCCAAAATGCATTTTTTTACGCTTACTGCATTTTACTAGAAATTGGATTGTAGTTAAAAATAATTCAACATTGCCAAATAATAACCTCTGTAGATTTTGTAGGTTTGTAAATACTCGTGAAGATCGTCATTGTTGAAATTTCATATGTGAATATTAAAGTACCCTTATTACTGGTAGATGGTTGAGAATAAAAATAAAATGATATAATCGTCTTGTTGGTTTGTTTGTTGTCTTGGGTTGTTATATCAACAGATATGCACTACAAATACAGTTAACTGCGAAACTATTAATCTGAACTCCATATTCATGTTCAGAACCTAAATTGCTTGAAACAGAAGATTCAACAAAGCTGCCCAGACTTACAAGTTTCCACATTTTTAACAATAATATTGCATTTTCCTTCCAGCCTCTGTACACGCAAATGCACTTGTATGAAGAAAATTACAGAATCGTAATACAGCATCCTTAAGGATAACAAGTTTGTAATGAAATACACCTTTGAACCTTTGGGAATATGAAAAGATTTTTTTTTTTTTTGGTGTTTTTAGATAGTTTATTCTGAGGCACAGACATAAGAGTTGTAACAAAAGCATTCTTTTTTGCTTTCAGACCCACATACATCCGCTGGAAGTAAAGCACAATGGGTTTCAAATGTGATGAGGCAAGAGATGACTCCCTTTAAGGGTCCGGCCCACCAGGGGTCATCCTTTGGCTCTGCAAAGGCCCTGCCTGGTTTGGGCTCCTTTCTGAAAGGTTCCGGCCCTGGTCATGGCAAGCATGGCCTATCGCAAAGTCAGTTGGTCACAGCTATGATACATGGGTCACTGCCAGGACACCAGTCCGGTCACATGACAGGAAACGTGTCAAATCCTACCTTTCCGCAACCTGGACAACAACAGGGGGCATGGTTTCAACAGCAGTTCGAAGTTCAAGGGAGTGACGAATCCCACGAACTTGGCCCTTACAGTGATCATAAGTTGGTATATACCATCGACAAGAAATACAAGCCGTGTGTATTTTGTCAGATAAACAAGAAGAAGACGAAGTCTGGTTGGTACGCCTATTCTTACTACAAATGTGACGTGTGTGACATCCCATTGTGTAAAGGAAGTCGTGACTGTTTCCACCTATACCACAAGTTCTTGGCCACCAACCAAGATTACGGTGGCATCAATATTCCAAAAACTAGGCTTGACTCGTACCAAAACTCTCAGTAGGACCAGCGAATCCTTCCATACCCACAAACTCTTGTATGCTTTTAATGTCTATAAACCACCTGAACAATGTCTGTATTTACAGGTATTGAGTTTTGATGAATGCTGGAATTACAGTTCTGAATGAAAGTGATCCAAATTGTGATCCAGACTGTGTTTACTTTTTGCAAATAGAATATTTGAACGTTGACCTAAAGGTCAATTTAAACTTGTATATATAGGAGAAATGTAGTATGTGCCTCTCCAGATTATTATATATCATACCCAAATATAGGATCTACATTGTATATGATTTCCAGGAAGATAAATATGAAATAATCTATATCAAAATAACTATTAGGACACAGTGTTATTGTAGCCTTATATGGGCACACCTAGTTATTGTAGCCTTATATTGCATTGGCAGACCTTGATTTTATAGCCTTTTATGGGCAGACCTAGTTATTATAGCCATATATGGGCAGATGTAGTTATTGAAGCCTCATATGGACAGATCTAGTTATTGCAGCCTTATATGGGCACACCTAGTTATTGTAGCCTTATATGGGCACACCTAGTTATTGTAGCCTTATATTGCATTGGCAGACCTTGATGTTATAGCCTTTTATGGGCAGACCTAGTTATTATAGCCATATATGGGCAGATGTAGTTATTGAAGCCTCATATGGACAGACCTAGTTATTTGTAGCCTTATATGGGCAGACCTTGTTCTTGTAGACTTAAATGAACAAAACCACTTTTTAGTGGAATATTACATGGGCCAAGTCATATAAGGAGACCACTGTTTGACGAAGGATATGGCAGGTTCTGTAGTAAATTGTGAGACTTAAAGGTGACTTCAGTTTCTCAGGTTTCGTAACGATTCAAGAGACCAATGTTGGACAAGAATCAGAATCTGTAGTGATTAATGAACACGCCTGAATGTTAACTCATTCACCCCTGAAATTGCATAATGGACTATGTTGTGTCTTCCTCACTGTTTTACTTCTTTAAATGTCAAAGAATATGCATTAAACATCTGTTTGTCTGTTTCCTGTAAATTCTCGTATGGCTTGTTATCACTTAGTAACCTAATATTCTACCTCCCTTGCCTTCTCACAGTCATTTGGATCGTGGTCATGTTCAAACAGCTCTCCAGTTTCCCAATAGCCTGATGTATATTAATCCGTAAAAACAGTCTTTGCTATATTCACCGGTCACTCATACAGATGGTCACTTAGATTTGTTTTTCTCTCACAAATCTTGACAATAAACTTCATCACTCATCTACACATTGAGCTAGACTTATAGGGCACCAATGTGTCACTAATTCGTCATTAGATGGATATAAAGCTGTTACATCTCTGATAGATGTATAGGGCACCAAATTCCACCAATGCGTCACTAATTCGTCATTAGATGTATATAAAGCTGTTACATCTCTGATAGATGTATAGAATGCCACTAAACTGCCATTATACTCGCCTATTTCGCAGGGCCCCAGTACCCCGCTGCAGGGTGGGGCCGGCGAGGGCGGAGAGAGGACGAGCTTACTGACGTTACCTTCGTGCTACTAGACCAACCCAATCTGACAGAAGTACCCAAAATCACCACACTGAGAGATCTGGCAGCCAAGGGCTTAGGTAACGGACAATCTACTTAATTCATTTTCTTGCCTGGTTACCATATGTCTCTGTTAACCATCTGTTATACATTGGATTTTCATCTTTGAATAATCTTAATCTTAAACCCGTCAAAGGCAGCAGCAATCATTGATAAATAAGATGAAAGTTTAGTTGGCCAAGTTGATGGCTGCAGTAATATTGTAGGCTTCATCACGGTAGAGAGGTTTCTGTAACGAGCTCTATGAGTTTCCGCAGTATCCTTGTATGTTTATTGTGAGACTTCTTGTAAGATATGATGAACTTGGATTTCAAATCAAATTCAAATGTTTCCCGGAGAACATATGCTTTCACAATAATATTTGATTGTGCATCAGAACTTGGATTTCAGACTCGTTAACTACAACCAAAGTGGCTTGTCTTGTAGGTGAAAAAACATTAAAGATTCAGAGAAACCTGACACAGGAGGGAATAAAAACCTTGATTGTGCGCACATTTCCCATGCTCCAGATGCGAGAGTTTACCCTCTGGAAGTCGGAACAAAACAGGAAATTAAGAGGTCCGCTGGTATGCCCCGATGTACGAACACTCAAAATTATAATAAAGAAAGGCAAAGTCTTCATCCTACCAAACAGGCCTATTCTGCTTTGTGATGATGTGAAAGTGAGTTGATCAACACAGGGTTCAATACCATTACAGATCAAACTGGACTACTAAAGCCACAAGGTTTGAACACATACGGTCAGCCCTTGTTACCAGCTGAAGGAAGTCCTATTCTAAGCCTTACTTGTTCCTATCTGGTTTGTCTATTTTAATTGAGCATGTTGGCATTCCCCGTCTATTTCAAACTTTTTCACCATCCTGGTATTTTAAAGATAGAAGGCTTCGACTGTACATTGTTTTCCGTGTCACAAATTTGCATTGCGTGAAATGATCTATGGCCAATGGGAGGAATATTTCCTTTATGTTACCAAAGTTTGACGCCTGCATTTGCAATACTCTTTCAGTTATGTCAAAATATCTGTTACTATTAGATAAGTTGACATTTGTCAATACCTCAGTGGTGATGCAAGTATTTCTTTATGATTTCAGAGCCTATACCAAAACATAGAAGTGTAACACAGCAGAATGGTGAGAAACAGAATCTCAAACTTCCTCCGATGGCTGCTGTTGTTGCCTCCTCCTCCTCAGCCCCCACCACTGTAACTTCTTCAGGTCATCAACAGTTGTTTCCCGGGTTTGAAGGGGCTGATCCCGCCCTGCTAGCCCTGGGCGTGACTGAAAGCTGTATGGCCTCGGGAGAGGTATATATAGACATAGGGGGAGATAACCAGGATGATGTTGTCATCACTGGTAACACTCCTGGTCTTCCCCAGCAACATAAACAACAGCCGTGGGGTACAGCCATGAGGACAGGTAAACCAAAGGGCAGGTCTCCAAGGCCACTACATCAGGGCCAGGGTCCTCCCCAGGGGCATGCCACAACCTGGGATCAGATGGCACCGTCGAGAGATAACCAGGTTGTTCCAGTAGAACTCCACAGGGCCCATCCATTTCAGGACGCCTTTCCAGATGAGCCCGGGGCTGGGGAGCGAAGTCCTCGCAGTGTTGGTGCCATGTTGAATCACAGAGCGATACACACGCCTATGATGAAGAACAAGCCGTGTGCATACTGTCTAATGAGGCAGGTGAGAACCAAGTCTGGCTGGTATGTGTACACGACCTACAAGTGTGAGGTGTGTGACGTCCCCCTGTGTACAGGCCAGAGGAACTGCTTCACCCTCTACCATATGGACAATAAGTTACCTGGTCAAGTGGTCAACACTAGAGGGGACGGCAATAGTATACTGCCAACATCTCAATCATAGCAAAACGTGTCTTGGTCAAGTGGTCAAGGATAAAAGGGGAGGGCAACGGTGTAATGTTAACATCACAATCATACCCAACCACTTCCTGGTCAAGTTGTCAAGGAGTGAGGGGAGGACAACAGTGTACTGTCAATATCTCAGTTATAACAAAATACTTACTGGTCAAGTGGTCAAGGAGTGAGGGGAGGGCAACAGTGTACTGTCAACATCTCAGTCATAACAAAACAATTTCTCGTCCAGTGTTCAATGCCAAGATTTGGCAGTCAAAGACAGTCATATGTCTATGTAGCATCAAAACAAATGATAAGTAGCATTTGTTGCCATAGACAACAGATAAACGATAGTTCTTGTCTCCGATAACTGATAATGAGTGCAATTTATAAATGCATTGTCAGTGAAACCATACAGCATTTGACTAAATAGCTAACATCCTAAAATGCCTAAATGTGGTGTTGTACGGTGTGATATCATGATTACAGAAGTGTGTATTTAGTCCTGCCTGACACTTGTTCTTCTGTGCCAGGTGACAGTTTTATCGGATGGAGGGGATGTTTATAATGCAGGACCACTTATTTTATCCCATTATCTTTTTTCATGAGTGTCAGAGTACCTGTTACTTCAAGAAAAAAATTGAATTATACAACATATTAGTTATTTTATAACATGTAAAAGTTCAAATATCTTTTTGTATTAACTCTGAAAGTTTGCATTTTCTGTTATCACAAATGCATGAAAATCTAAATATAGAACCTAGAAGTTGATCATGTGACCCAAAATCTGAATATAGAACCTTACACTAAGATCACGTAGTCATTAAGTTACATAGTCATTCTTTACTGGTTTGTTGGTTGTGGGGTGAGCTAATACACATAATGTGTATGAATAATTATTTTGCCATGCTTACCAGTTAAGTTCAATGAGAGTGTGAATATTTGTCCCTGTTTATGTACCATGTTTAGGAATAATCATTTTGCCATGCTTTAGTTGAAAAGGACTCGTTGTCCATGTTGATTTCATTTGACAAAAATGAAAGTGTGAATATTTGTCCGTTTATCATCTCTGTGTATGAATAACCTTTTTGCCATGTTTTACTTTAAATGTTCACCATTTTTAGGAATAATCATTTTGCCATGCTTAAGTATAGCTGAGAGTGTGAATATTTGTCCCAGTTTTTAGGAATAATCAGTTTGCCATGCTTAAGTATAGCTGAGAGAGTGAATATTTGTCCCTGTTTATGTACCATGTTAAGTATTAATCATTTTGCCATTCTTTAGTTGAACAGGACGTGTTGTCCATGCTGATTTCATTTGACAAACTATTGACACTACAGGACGTGTTAAATCTTGAATCAGTGTTTGAGGTTGTGAACAGAGAAGACCAGCCATGTACATAATATATATATGTTAGTCAGAACAACAGGTGTTCATTAGCATTACTGGAGATCACAGGTGTTAATTAGCATTACTGGAGATCAAAGATGTTCATAAGCATTACTGGAGATATCAAAGATGTTAATTAGCATTACTGGAGAGATCAAAGGTGTTAATTAGCATTACTGGAGAGATCAAATGTGTCCATTAGCATTACTGGAGAGATCACATGTGTTAATTAGCATTACTGGAGAGATCATAGGTGTTAATTAGCATTACTGGAAAGATCACAGGTTTTTATTAGCATTACTGGAGAGATCAAATATGTTAATTAGCATTACTATCAAAGATGTTAATAAGCATTTCTGGAGAGATCACAGGTTTTAATTAGTATTACTGGAGAGATCAAAGATGTTAATAAGCATTACTGGAGAGATCACAGGTTTTAATTAGCATGACTGGAGAGATCAAATATGTTAATAAGCATTACTGGAGAGATCACAGGTTTTAATTAGCATTACTTGATAGATTACAGGTGTTAATTAGCATTACTGGATAGATCAAAGATGTTAATTAGCATTACTGGAGAGATCACAGGTTTTAATTAGCATTACTGGAGAGATTCTTCCATTAAAATTACAGAAACATTGAAATTTTGTTTTGTTATAAATTTTCAAATCTTTATTATCCTGCTTCTCATCTTAGAATAGTGGATTGGGACCATCATTGTTGAGATTTTTTTACCTGGAAAGTTTCAGTTATACAGTGCAACCTTGCTACACTGCCGTCATTTACTCAGCAAAACTTTGGCAGTATAAAAGAATTCGGCGATATACAAATATAAAGCTAATCTTGTATAGGATTTTTGAACGAGTAAAAAAACAGTGAAAGATATGACCTTGAAATATGTTTTCTGTAATTAAGTAAGATGGTAAATGTAATGTGGGGCAATATATCAAGGTTTTACTGTAGTTCTACAGGCGCTGAATTAGTGACAAACCTGCATTATGATAGGAAGTCATACCATCAGAATCAACAAGAAGCTTGCAGTGATGTCAAACCAGGAGTAGCCAGGATTCCAGCTCACATACATACATTTATGTAATAATAATAATAATAATAATCATTTGAGGTTCTTATATACCGCCCTTATCACAACCTAGTTTGTAGGTCGTCTAAAATATTCGGTGGTTATAGGGCTTTTGCAAGCAGCCAACATCTTTCTCAACTCCCTGGGGAGCATACAGCCGGTGCTGCCATTTCGGCACTCGCAGTTAGCATTTACAGCTGAGTAGACTGGAACAAGTGGAGTAAAGTATCTTGCTCAAAGTACAACACAGTGCCGTACCGCGAGTCAAACCTGCAACCCTTCGGTCACGAGCCTGGCAACCTACCACTAGACTACTGTGCCTCCTGCTCATGTACATGAGTATTTTTGCTGGACTTAATTTCTTGATGATTATACTCCATGGATAAATGTAATTGTTGTTGTCCTCCAAGCATATATGGCCTTCACACTTGGTATTTAGATACATCGTGACGCCACCAAGTCATATACCAAAATGGGAACACTACAAACTCTTTTTGACATTTTACCTTTTCTCAACCAAATTCAGGTTAACGACCATATGTGAACAAAAGACTTGTCTTGAGCTTTCTTGGAAGAACTTGACTGCGAGAGTAGTAAAATGAGATATCGCTTTTGAAATTCTGTTTAACTTTTCATTGTGAAATAGACTAGCTTTATTGATCCTAAGTTGTATTGTGTAAGGTAGAGTTTGTT